AGAAACCAGGGACATACGAAGGATGGGTGAGATCTTAGAGACACATAAGGGACACAATGGTTTTAGTGAGATACATGAGGGACACAGTGGGATTGTATAAAAACATAAAGGACATTAGGTTATTGAGAGACATATGATGGACAGAAAAAATTGAAAGACAGATGACAGTGGTGAAAGGATTGGAGAGACACATGACAGCCATGGGTCGATTAGAAAGACACATGAGGCACATAGGGAATGAAAAACACATAAGGGAGAGCATGCATATGAGGGTTCTGATGTGAAATAAGTATAATTGGCATTTTTGCTAAACTGGCAAAGGAAAAAGTCTAGTTAGCATTTTTTCAGCTGCAGTATTTTGGCATATAAATCACTTTGAATTCGCTTTAACTGATTAACTTTAGTCAATAGTTATGGCACATAATATCTAATAACCATTTTTCCAAATGTGTCAGAGCCTCTTAGCTAAAACCAGATTTTCCATCTATTTTCCATTGGTCTACTGTACAGAGGTGAGCAGAATTACCAAAACTATCCTTTTCAGTCTCACAGGGAAACCCTAGGAACAGTCAAAATCAGCTTTTCTAATTATTATTCTTTGGTTTCCCAAAGAAATGTGAGAAGAATAGTTCAAACCAACTTTTCCACTGCATTTCTAGTCTCTCTGAAAAACAAGCACAGAAGTCAAACTCTGCGTATAAATGCAATTCTATGGATAATGCTGAACAAAGATAGTATCCAAAGATCCAAGATAGTATCCGAATAGTACTGACCAACCTGAATTTATTGTAATGGATAATGTGCACAATATATCTGTTAAAGTCATATGTTATATGTTTTACTGAAGAATAAATTACCATTTTCTTAAATGGATTTAAAACATTTTACATAAAGTCATTTAACATTTCTTTGGGTTCTTTTTTCCCTTTCCTTTCTTTTTTTTGCCTAGGCTATTTACTGTGAAATTTGTCAAGCCAAAACAGATGCTACTCAGAGGAAAAGGGATATATATGTTGTTCTATTGGTTTCTATAACCATTTCTCCATATTTAGTTTGCAACAGAATAACATTTATTTTTGCTTTAAAGCAGCACTGTCACCCCCCTCCCTTCCCCTGAAAAATATATCATACAAATATAATCTTTATGAAATACTAGTTTTGACTGTGCTGGAAATTCACTGAAATTCTAACCCAGTCAAGAGATAAACAGAGCAAAAGTAGGGACTACCTTGTCTCTGTATTTCTCCTTCGCCTGACTTTCTTAGGCTCAGGATGAAGTCTAAGAGTCAATCCCAGTCAATGCAGGGAATTGGTTGTTGTGTCTTTGGAGGATTCCACAATCTTGCAGCATCCACCATAGACCTCAATGCTGTGCTTTGGCTGATATGAGAGAGTACAGCAGTGACATTGGTTCCTGGCGTATTAAAGAGGAGCAGAGCAAGAAATTATGGCAGCACTTGCGAGGAATAGGTTCAGGTAAGTAGTCTCACCTTAACTGCTACCCCTGGCCACCTGGTCCCCAGCAGTGATGTCACTGTCTGGGGTCTTGGCGAATTTGGAAAGTCCCCTGATGGTGACAGTGCCACTTTAATGAATCCTATCTTTGGTCTCCTTTATGGGGTGAAGACTACAGATAATGTTAGCAACAAGCCCAACCTACTTGTATAAATATGAATGCTTCTATATAGGGCTTGATGGATAAGCTTTTCAAATTATTTAATATTTTTAGATACACTTTTAAAATGATTAACTATTTTGAAATAATATTTTTATATTTTTATAAATTTGATTATACATAATACATTTTTGTCATTTTAATATTTTGAAAAAAAAAAACATTTTAAAAAGTTTAACCCTTTGCCGACTAGGTATGTCCGACAAAAAACGGTCGTTAACGATCGCAGACGTACCAGGTACATCCAATCCCAAAAATGTACTTACCTGATCGCTGGCGATCCCCGGCCGCCGAACACAATGTGGGGACTTGCCTGGCATCCCAGGCATTCCCCCTGCAACTGTTCCGGCCCCCCCGAGGCCATGTGATAGCGGGGTCCTCCAGAATAGCCATCTTGTGCAGTGCCTGCAGGGGGAGTTCCTGAGCTCTCAGGCTGTCCTCCTCATGCCTGCACAACATTTTAAAAAGTAAATAAAAGTCATTAAAAAGTTTAATAAAGTTAAAGAAACACTATAGGGTCAGGAACACAAACATGTATTCCTGACCCTATAGTCCAAAACTGACCATTAAGGTGGTTTCCCCCCCCCCTTACCCCCTTTAAAAGCATAAAAATCTCATCTTATTTCCAGCACCATGCGAGTCCGCCGGAACTGGCTCCACCCCCTTGGTGACATCCTCAGAATTGCAGATTTTTAGCCAATCCAATGCTTTCCCGTAGGGGAAAGCATTGGATTGGCTAAAATCGGCAAGGGGGCGAGGTCAAATGCCTTTTTGACCAATCAGCACTTCCTCCATGAGGAAAATTCAGCGTCCCCATGCAGAGCGTGGGGACACTGAACGGCAGAGCTGGTTACTATGCAGCACTACCCCAGGAAGCACCTACAGTGGCCATCTGAGGAGTGACCACTTGGAGATGTCCCTAGGGGCAATGTAAACAATGCCTTTTTCTGAAAAGGCAGTGTTTGCATGGAAATGCATTAAGCTGTAGTTGTTCTGGTGACTATAGTGTCCCTTTAATAAAAGTACTTAGATCATATATATATAAAACCTTGTTGAAGTGCACTCACACGACTCAATAGTATTATTCAACCGTGCTTGTTTATTGAAGCATCAAATATTATAAAAAAGTGCTGACGTTTCAGTCCTATCTGGACTTTTTTCAAGACAATTTGATGGTGTGAAACAATTCATTAAATACCCTGTAGTATAACATGATTGGAGGGTGAAAAGTGAAAATGAGGTTCAATCAAGTAATGAACAACATATGGAATGTGAAAAAAGGAAGAAATCTTAAATGAGGCAATTACCAACCCTTACTAAAGTGAGTAATTAGGTGGGTGGTAGTGCTGAGACATAATGTCTCTTTACAAATAATTACATGTTTACAACTATATACAAAAATTGTAACTTATTCCACACAGAGAATATGCACGGAATCAATTGCCGTGAAATATTAGGCACTGCTTGTATGTGCTTTTCAATATCAGTTATATTCATCTGTATTTATCAATATCAAGGCAACTGATTTCTCTTCATTACTAACATGAAAAAGTTATACTCATAATTAGAGTTAAGCGGACACCTGGATGTTCGGGTCCGGCGGGTTCGGACGAACTTTGAAAAAAAGTCCAGGTTTGGGATCGAACTTGACCCCGAATTTGACACCGAACCCAAACTTTTGGGCACAAAAATGCCTCTAAAAAGTCCTGGAAAGGGCTAGAGGGCTGCAAAAGGAAGTAAAATTTGAGTAAGAGTAGGACAAGTGCCCTGCAAACAAATGTGGATAGGGAAATCACTTAAAATAACATAAAAATTTAAAATACAGCTGAGCCATAAAATAGCACTAGATGGAATCTTTGATTTTAGCTTTGGAAGAACATAAATCAAACTCTTAAGCATGGCTGTCAGGAGGATCACCAGAATTATCCATTTGAGAGAGGGTTGGAGTGCAGGGTATTCTCTTTCATTGTTCAAACTGAGCTCAACTCCTGATGCATGGAGAAAAGGCCTTCACAAGCCTCTGCTATTGTGTACATAGTTTATACTAAGTGACCCATAGGTTGAGGAAGCTGTGACCGTGGCGGTGTAGGTGGCAGTACTGGGTAGTTTTTCAGGAATTTCTGCACCACCAAATTCAGCACATGCGCCAGGCAATGGATGTGCGTCAGTCCGGCTAGGCCCAGAGCAGCTACGAGATTTCGTCCATTATCGCACACCACCAGGCCGGGCTTGAGGCTCAGTGGCAACAACCACACATCGGTCTGTTGTTCCATGCCAGTCCACAGCTCCTGCGCGGTGTGGGGTTTTTCCCCCAAACATATGAGTTTGAAAACAGCATGCTGTCGTTTCCTTCTGACTGTGCTGAAGTTGGTGGTGAAGGTGTTACGCTGACCGGATGAGGAGGTGGTGGAGGAGGAGGCAACAGGAGGCAAAGCTGTGTACCCAAATAAAGATTGTCAAACGTTGTGTCCTGGAACTGTGTCCCATCTGGTTACTGGGGAAATGGGTCTGACCTATTCTAATCAAAGGGGATAACCATCGGTTACCCAGGTCCCGCTTCAATTGGTGGCAAGCGGCGGGATCCCATGTCCCAACAGACCCATGGACTACAGTGCTCTAAACCGACCTACACTACAGGACTTGTGTGGCGCCAGAGGAATAACGCCTGGTGGGCATTACCAGGCCGAATTGACTCTTGCGCTCATGGTGGACGACCAGGCACACAGTGAGGCAACGAACGCCAGCCAGGGGCCAGAGATGAGGAGGAAGTGCGCAAGGAGGTGTAACGGCGCCTGGCATATTACCGAAAACAACCCTCAGAGGAGATTGTCAGCAGGACCTTTTTGGAGGTGCAAGCCTATGTCCTTGCCAATAGACAGAGGGCGACCTCCATGAACCCAGATGAAGGAAGAAGGGAGGAGAGGGTGCCGGGAAGCACAACCACCCTGGCCCACAAGCTACCATACAATGCCTTTAAAGACTTCAAGGAAGGAGAAGAAGGCATCGATGACTTTTTAAAAGACTTTGAGCGCCAGTGCCTACTCCAAGATGGGCAGCGACTGGGTCACCATCCTGGCCAGCAAACTAGTGGGGAAGGCAGCGGATATTTACCGGGCTGTACCAGGAGAGCAGATCAGAGACTATCCCTTTATTACCCAAATCCTCCTGGCACGGTATGCGGTCACCCCCGAGCAATACCGCCGAAAGTTTAGAGAGACCCGGAAAGGGGAGACGGACTCCCATGCGGAGTGGGCATGCCGCATCACAAGGGCCACCAAGAACTGGCTCAACTCCCATCAAGCCAAGTTCCTGGAGGAGATTACCCAGCTTGTCATGCTAGAGCACTTTTTCAATGAGCTCCCCAACGACAAGACGACAACGCATTCGTATGTCATCCATATAAACTTTCGATGCCACTTTCTGCGCCTACAATGGTGACAATGGGTAACGGGGAATCAGGGTTCGATTCCAGAGAGGGAGCCTGAGAAACGCCTACCACATGCAAGGAAGGCAGCAGGCGTGCAAATGACCCACTTCCGACGCGGGAAGGTAGTGATGACAAATAACAATACAGGACTCTTTAGAGGCCCTGTAATTGTAATGAGTCCACTTGAAATCCTTTAACTCTGATCAATTGGAGGGCAAGTCTGGTGCAGAGCGACTGACCCATGTGTGCTGCAGCTGAAACTCCACTATCGCCTGCTGCTGCTCGCACAGTCTCTCCAGCATGTGCAAGGTGGAGTTCTACCTTGTAAGGCACGTCGCATATGAGGCGGTGAGCGGGAAGGCTAAAGTTCCACTGCAGCGCAGTCAGGTGAGCAGCAGCAGGGTGAGAACGCCGAAAGCGTGCACAGCCGCTACAGTGAATGTCACATCCTGTTCCAAGTTGCGGATCAGTCTGGTGATGGTTTCTGGTATCCAGTACTCTTTTTACTGAAGCTGCATTAGGGTCCTGGTATGTGGCCGCACAAACGCTCAACACCAGGTTACCCTGCACCAGACCCTGCTAATCCATTCCACACTGTGACTCCTAACTTCAACATCAGGCATACTGGGTCCCGGTCGTCCGACAGCCGTCCAGACAGTGTCTGGGTCCCGGTCACCGGATTTTGAAACTGCGAATGGCTTGTTAAATCTGTTATGGTTCCTTTTATCGCTCCATCTGTTACTTGGATAACTGTGGGTATTCTAAAGATAATACATGCCGACGAGCACTAGGGGACGGCTGCTCTGCTTTTGCACCCTGCTCCCTCTTATGCTGTGCTGGTGCCTCTGTGCGACCAGTGCCTATTCTTCCAAACTGCACACGTCACTCGCATGACCTTTATTCCATGTGGGGTCTAGGACCTCATCATCCTCCACATCATCTTCCACCCACTCCTCAACCCTGCCCTCCCTGCCAGTCTGCACACTGCAGAAAGCCACAGCAGTTGCCACCTGTGTTTTTCCAGCATGTAATGTCTGCAAAGGACATATGGAAATTGTTTTAGAATTGTATCCAGGCAACAGTTTTCCCTATAAACTGACCCCTCAGTTTGAATTTTGAGGGTATTGCCCCCGAATTACAATATTGTTATATTGGTATTTGACAGATCTATTTGACTGTAAGATATGAAGTGCAGACCGCAAATGTACTATTTAGCACCCAAGAATGTTTACAATTGCGTTGTAACCGCACTATTTGACGCTTCTATTTGACTCTATTTGAGCCCTGCACTTCATATCTGAGCGTCAAATAGAAGCGTCAAATAGTGCGGTTACAGCGCAATTGTAAACATTCTTATTTTCTGGGTGCTAATCTGCTAAATAGTACATTTGGGGCGTGCTCTTCATATCTGAGAGTCAAATAGAAGCGTCAAATAGTGCGGTTACAGCGCAATTGTAAACATTCTTATTTTCTGGGTGCTAATCTGCTAAATAGTAAATTTGGGCCCTGCACTTCATATCTGAGAGTCAAATAGAAGCATCAAACAGTGCGGTTACAGCGCAATTGTAAACATTCTTATATTCTGGGTGCTAATCTGCTAAATATTAAATTTGGGCCCTGCACTTCATATCTATTTAGCAGATTAGCACCCAGAATATAAGAATGTTTACAATTGCGCTGTAACCGCACTGTTTGATGCTTTTATTTGACTCTCAGATATGAAGAGCACGCCCCAAATTTACTATTTAGCAGATTAGCACCCAGAAAATAAGAATGTTTACAATTGCGCTGTAACCGCACTATTTGACACTTCTATTTGACTCTCAGATATGAAGAGCACGCCCTAAATTTACTATTTAGCAGATTAGCACCCAAAAAATAAGAATGTTTACAAATGCCCTGTAACCGCACTATTTGACGCTTCTATTTGACTCTCAGATATGAAGAGCACGCCCCAAATTTACTATTTAGGAGATTAGCACCCAGAAAATAAGAATGTTTACAATTGCGCTGTAACCGCACTATTTGACGCTTCTATTTGACTCTCAGATATGAAGCGCACGCCCACATTTAATATTTAGCAGTTTAGCACAAAAAACTATTAGAATTTTTACAACTGCGCTGTAACCGCACTATTAGAATCTTCGATTTGACTCTCAGATATGAAGTGCAGGGCCCAAATTTACTATTTAGCAGATTAGCACCCAGAATATAAGAATGTTTCTAATTGCGCTGTAACCGCACTATTTGATGCTTCTATATGACTCTCAGATATGAAGAGCACGCCCCAAATTTACTATTTAGCAGATTAGCACCCAGAAAATAAGAATGTTTAGAATTGCGCTGTAACCGCACTATTTGACGCTTCTATTTGACTCTCAGATATGAAGTGCAGGGCCCAAATTTACTATTTAGCAGATTAGCACCCAAAAAATAAGAATGTTTACAATTGCGCTGTAACCGCACTATTTGACGCTTCTATTTGACTCTCAGATATGAAGAGCACGCCCCAAATTTACTATTTAGCAGATTAGCACCCAGAAAATAAGAATGTTTACAATTGCGCTGTAACCGCACTATTTGACGCTTCTATTTGACTCTCAGATATGAAGTGCAGGGCCCAAATTTACTATTTAGCAGATTAGCACCCAGAAAATAAGAATGTTTACAATTGCACTGTAACCGCACTATTTGACATTTCTATTTGACTCTCAGATATGAAGAGCACGCCCCAAATTTACTATTTAGCAGATTAGCACCCAGAAAATAAGAATGTTTACAATTGCGCTGTAACCGCACTATTTGACGCTTCTGTTTGACTCTCAGATATGAAGAGCACGCCCCAAATTTACTATTTAGGAGATTAGCACCCAGAAAATAAGAATGTTTACAATTGCGCTGTAACCGCACTATTTGACGCTTCTATTTGACTCTCAGATATGAAGAGCACGCCGCAAATGTACTATTTAGCAGATTAGCACCCAGAAAATAAGAATGTTTACAATTGCGCTGTAACCGCACTATTTGACGCTTCTATTTGACTCTCAGATATGAAGAGCACGCCCCAAATTTACTATTTAGCAGATTAGCACCCAGAAAATAAGAATGTTTACAATTGCACTGTAACCGCACTATTTGACATTTCTATTTGACTCTCAGATATGAAGAGCACGCCCCAAATTTACTATTTAGCTGATTAGCACCCAGAAAATAAGAATGTTTACAATTGCGCTGTAACCGCACTATTTGACGCTTCTATTTGACTCTCAGATATGAAGAGCACGCCCCAAATTTAATATTTTGGAGATTAGCACCCAGAAAATAAGAATGTTTACAATTGCGCTATAACCGCACTATTTGACACTTCTATTTGACTCTCAGATATGAAGCGCACACCCCACATTTAATATTTAGCAGTTTAGCACGAAAAACAATTCGAATTTTTACAACTGCGCTGTAACCGCACTATTAGACGCTTCGATTTGACTCTTAGATATGAAGTGCAGGGTCCAAATTTACTATTTAGCAGATTAGCACCCAGAAAATACGAATGTTTACAATTGCGCTGTAACCGCACTATTTGACGCTTCTATTTGACTCTCAGATATGAAGAGCACACCCCAAATTTACTATTTAGGAGATTAGCACCCAGAAAATAAGAATGTTTACAATTGCGCTGTAACGAGGGCCGCCATCAGGGGGTGACAACTGTGACTGTTGTCACGGGCCTGGTGGCCCTGGGGGGCCCAGACTGCCCTGGCAGTCCTGGGCCCCACTTTCCCTTTCTGCACACATAGATAGCGAATATCGCTATCTATGTGTGCAGCCGTGGGCCCCCGGCTCCCTGTTACCGCAGAGGGGGCCAAGCACACAGCTTCTCCTCTCTTTTAATAACTCTCGCGAGACCCGCGGAGCGTTGCCATGGTAACCGGGTCTCGCGAGAGTTATTAGAATAGAGGAGAAGCTGTGTGCTGCCTGGGCACCCTCTGCGGTAACAGGGAGTCGGAGGGCCCCCCAACCGGACCACCAGGGATGGAATCTCCCCCCTCCCTGGACACAGGTAAGCAGGGAGGGGGGAGAAACATTTAATTAATTTAATAAAAAATTAATGTTAAAATGCACCTTCCTACCCCTCCCCTCCCATATCACACATTTACACAACACACACTCTCTGCATTCACTTCACATTAACACACACTCTGCATTCACTGCACTAACACACACACTACATTCATTACACTGACACACTCTGCATTCACTACACACTAACACACACTCTGCATTCATTACACACTAACACACACTCTGCATTCACTAAACTATGCACACACTCTGGATTCACTATACTGACACACACTCTGCATTCACTACACTAACATACACTCTGCGTTAACTGTACACACAGCATCCACTACACAAACATCCTATATTCACAGTACACACACTACATCCACCACAAATTGAAACACTCTGCTTTCACTATACACAGACACTGCGTCTAATACACACACTACAGACACTGCATCCACTAAACACATTTCATCTAGTACATACAAACACTACATCCACTACACAAACACACACTACATCACTGTACACACACTACATCCACTACTCAAATACACTCTGCGTTCACTATACACACTGCATCCGTTACACAAACACACACTCTGCATTCACTGCATAAACAGTATCTAATACACACAAACACTACATCCATTACACACATTCTAATTCACTTCCACTATACACACCACATTCAGTCCTGCATCATTGTGAGCGGACTAGGTAGGACGTGGGCGGGCCCGGGAGGGAGGGCGGGAGTGGGGGAGGGGGCGCAGACTTTGTGCTTTGTCATGGGCCCCAAAATTTCTGATGGCGGCCCTGGCTGTAACCGCACTATTTGACGCTTCTATTTGACTCTCAAATATGAAGAGCATGCCCCAAATTTACTATTTAGCAGTATAGCACCAAAACAATTCGAATTTTTACAACTGCGCTGTAACCGCACTATTAGGCGCTTTGATTTGACTCTCAGATATGAAGTGCAGGGCCCAAATTTACTATTTAGCAGATTAGCACCCAGAAAATAAGAATGTTTACAATTGCGCTGTAACTGCACTAT